CATGCGAGCAATTTCGAAAAATTTTGTAGTGTCTGCCCGAAATTGCCTGGAATCCACATTGGATTACATTGTAATGTAAATGAGAAAAGATAACGGTGGAAACGGCTATTGAACAAAATCATGTTGAGCTTGCAGAATAAATATTTATTTTTTATGATTTTCCTTCTGAGTTTTCAGAGTGTGGAGTGGTTGACTCTTATGCCCCGGGCACCATGGAACCCACCGTGTTTTGACATGCAGAATTAAACGTGTGCGTCTTCAGAAAATTTTTGTGTTGCGGAGAAACGTCAAATTAGGGTTTATCATGCTTGGGGTGGTGTTACGGCCCGTCCACACTACTCTGCAGCTTTATTTCTCCGCCGGGTATCGCCTGCCGTCCACAATAATCCGTCACGAAAACGGAGCTTTTCGAAAACGCTCTTCAAACCGGACAGAAAACACTTTGAAAACGAAACTTTTTGATAACGATGGCCTTACGATAATTATATGATTTTCCTACTCGAGTCTTTTTCAATCACAAATCCAAAATGACCGGTGATTGCTGCGTTTTCGAATTTGGACGGACAAAATTTAATGCGTTTTTAGAGTGAAAACTCCGTTTTCAAATTCCTTCAGCGTAGTGTGGACTGAACCTTAGTAGTTTCAATGAAATATGTTCTTTTTTAAATCGCAACGATTCATACATTAAACTTGAACTGCAATTTTTAAACTACAGTGAAACAACGAGCTGAGGGAGTTATTTTGTAATACCTGTACGTGCTAAATGAATTTTCAGTGAATCTCGGTTGAATACACTTTGACGGAGCCTATTTTTTATCTTTGTGAGACTGCTACACTCATCGTGCAAAGTGGAGGCAGGTATGAAACACTACGGTTGAATCTAGACCCTATGTTTTTTTATGGCATGACAAATATCCAGCTGACGCATTCGGAATTGCTTCATTTTCCGCTAAAAGGATAGATCATTTGACTTTTTGAGGGGGTTGTGGGTGATTTGGTACAGGTGCGAATTATTTTAACCCTTTCAAGCACTAAGACATTTTTTTTCTCGGAACTTGTGTATACATTTTTTTTTCTCTGTATAAAATGCTTATATTCGGATCTCTGAACTTGCGTGAATTTTTGTTTTGGCAATGGTCGTGTGCGTGAATGTTTTGGGATACAATTTATGTTTGCAAGGTTTTTTTTTCAAAATGACTTAACATCCTATGCAGCAAGTTACTGTGTCTTGTCATTTCTGAATATCGCTGTAATCATTAAACCTTTGTTTACCTCATGATTGTTAATTGGCTCAGATTGAGTTTATCTACCGCGGTGCTTATTAGTCCCGTAATTGACTGTAATTAGCGGTGTTAGTGACAATTAGCTCCATTGTTATCTTTAACAAATCAGAGTAGTTATCCCAAAATTAACATTCATTGTTAAATTTACAGCAATTAACGGTCTAAAAGGGTAATTATCATCTGTTTTTGAACTATCTGTTTTGAATTGCAGTGAGTACCCCAAGAATTGTTCTGAGTAAAAAAACATTGTGTGTGTGTAACGTGACGGACAGTTTTATAACCTGTCTTGGGTTGATAGAGTGAAATTTTCGTGGATCAAGGACGTGAATGAGATTTCTTCTATCCCGACCTGGGTACGAAACAATTTGGTCCATTTACTCCAATGTGTTTTGGTCCATTTATTTGTTTTTGAACTGAATAGTTAGTAGGACTGTTCAAAGGAATCTGTCCGATGATAACAAAGTGTCAGTGTTGCTTCGACGATAAATCATGGTAAACGTCGCACTGAGTCGTCAAGTCGAACCATTTGTGGCAAGGGAGGACGAAACAAACTTTACTACAGACACCCAAATTCTAACCGAGAATTTTTCATCATCAGATGGCAATAGAACTCACTGAAATTCTACCCAGACGAACCTGCACCAGAGGCAGGTGCGGCGAACATTTTCAGCTAGATTCGTCAGTAGCTGGGCCTGGTTCCATCCGGCTCCATTATTACAAGAAATGGCGAGTGCAGATTTGGACTAACCGGTTTAAATTCAAAAGCAGACATGAAAGTCAGTCTTGCTTTCTCCGTATTCCATTTTCAAGCTATTTGTCAAATGAGTGTTCTTTTGATTATTCTAAATGCAATTCTTAAGTGAAGAGAATTAAAAGTTTTGTTCTGATAGCAAGTCTGCTAATTTTATTTGAGCTTGAAAGCTCATGTGGCTTCTATTTCGCCATAAATACACTAGGCTTATAAATCAACAGTTCTTAATACAATACCAAGTAGCATTTGCTCACTGGGAGGGGAAACATTCTCTGACAATTTCTGTCAATATCGACTATTTTGAAAAAGAGGTGAGATATTCTCACCCCAAATTGATGAAGTAATCGAGAATAATACATGAGCGCGCGTACGGATATGGAATTTCTGTTCGAGTGTTATTTGCCGGCTGGGAGGTCCGTATAGTAAAACCGTGTCCGAGGTCTTGAAAATGCTGCCCGAGGTCGCA